AGATGATGAGACTAAGGCCTCACTGCTGCTGAGGAGCAGAGCTAGGACATGAGGCTGTTTTCTGATTCCAGGCCCAGTGCTGAGCCAACTAACGGAGCATAAAGGGGACCTGAGACCAGGGAAGGCTCTGTGGAGTGGTACTGCCGCTCTATCCTTTGTCTGCAATTCTAAACTCCAAAGAACTCTGAAGACAAAGTCTCTCTCTCTCTCTGTCTTTTTTTTTTTAGAATGGGATCTCATTCTGTTGCTCGGGCTGGAGTGCAGTGGTGCTCTCTGCAGCCTCGATCTCCCTGGCACAGGCGATCCTCTTGCCTCAGCCTCCTGAGTAGCTGGGACTACAGGTGTGTGCCACAACACCTGGCTATTGTTTTTTGTTTGTTTGTTTCCAAGTTTGGCACTAAAACTCAATTTGGCAGCAAAACCTGACCTGAACTGATGTAATTTGTGATATTTAGTTATCCGCTTACCATAAGGTCAATGTGTTTAGCTGCAGACATCTCACTGTTTGTTAGTAGGGGTTATCCCGGTCCCTAGAGGGAGGGGGAGGAGGAGGTATTACCTAATATTGGACTACATAGCCTTAAAAAATCTATAAAATTTCAAAACACAGCTGGCCCCAAGGGTTATGGATGAGGGACTCTGGGTTGGGTCTGAAAGGGGGCTTGGTTGAGGGGTAGAATTTTGATGTTTGGAAGGGATATTATGAAGACGAAGCCTCGTGCCATACCAGTTTGGGTCTGTGTGTAAGTCATTATCAACCATTACATTTGCTTTAAAGCAGGGATGACTTGCGTTTCTGATAACTACTTTCGCTTCATTCATGATCCATACACATTTGGAGGGTTGGACTTTCTGGGTTTGGTTTTTTCCCCTAGTATCACTCCCCGCCTTTTCCCACAAATCACCTGACTTCCCCGAAAACTCAGAAACACACCCTTTGGCTGAAAAAAAGCATTAAGCAATCAGTGAAATTCCCCATTCCTCCTTTCACCCCCGGAGCCCTGGATAGAGGCCTCTCAGGCCTGGGAGGAGGACGCTGCCCTTGTTTCAAAAGCAGAGGGAGCTCCAAGATCAAGGCTGAGTTATTCTTTCCCTGTGTCATGGTCTCCCAGCCCCCTCTGTTTAGATCAGGGAATTTCAGACATGCACACTTGGGTAGGGAATCTTATGAACACAACCCGGACAGGGAGGCCGGCCGGAGGTTCCTGCAGAGGGAGCGTCAAGGCCCTGTGCTGCTGTCCCTGGGGGCCGGAGGGGTTGCCCAGCATGCCCACTGGCAGAAGAGAGGGGACTGACCCACTTGCCCCTGCCAGCTTCTGAAGGTAAAATCCTTACAAACAAGGAGCAGAGCTTTGATGGAGGAAAAAAGAAAGGCAGCAAGCTTCACGTAGGAGGGCTTGGGGCAGTGACAGAGGGCTGACAAAGGCAGCATTTAAAAAGGCAGAATATAGACAACCTATTTCTCTTAGGCTCACCCCATCCACCCCTGCTTCACGCTCTTACCTACCGCTATTTTCAGGGTTAAAGCAATTTGAGCAAGACTTTATCAGCTTGAATTTTCAGTAATGGGGAGGGGGGAAACAACGCCCAAACAAATTCTGGAGAATCAATGTAGGAAGTTTTTATGTTCCTTGTCATTTGGCTGTCCCTTTTCTCCTTCCCCATGCAACCCTGTCTTAACGGGTCAGCACTTCCTTGTCAGACCGCTTGTCCCAAGGTCCTGGACTTCCCCTAGTGAAAGAAGCTTCTGCCTCCATCTGTGGGCATTGGGAGCATCAGCAGAGATGCATGCACGGATAAACAGCAGACAGGGCTGCTTGAGGAGATAGGGGGATCACGGTTAAAGAAGAGGGGCTGTAAGGGATCACGGTTAAAGAAGAGGGGCTGTAAGGGGTCACGGTTGAAGCAGAGGGGCTGTAAGGGATCATGGTTGAAGCAGAGGGGCTGTCCTAGATGGACGGTCATGATGCAGGAAGACTCCTGAAAACCTGGGTGGAAATGGGAACATTGTTCTTGAGGGCAGGACAGAGACTGATACTGTAGGGGTGGGGCTGGTGGAAGACAACAGAGGAAGAGGAATCCTGGGAGAAAGTACTCCATTCCTTTGGAGAAAAATTAGGAGAAAGTCCAGAGAAGTAGCGAGGGAAGGATACAATTTTAGTTATAGTCTAGAAAGTCAGTTCAAGTTGGATTAGGGAGGGTGTGAGGGGCCTAGTGCCATGCAGTGATGTTGGTGATATAGCTCTGTTTAACCTGTGTGTTGTCCCTATGAAGGTGACACTGAGCGCCAGGTGACACTGCACCACCAAAGAAGGGGCCTGTGTTTGTCAGACAAATACAGCCAGGGCTGCCGCCCCTTAGGCTCCAAAGTCCAGAGGTGCAGAAAGCCAGGACCAAGAGACAGGTAGCTTACCAGGCTGGACAAATCGCCAGAGATGTGGTAAGTGATCAAGGGTCTCCAGAGATTACACAGGCTTCATTCCCTTTATCTTCTCAAGAAAAGGGCCCATGGGCCAGGCAATCCCAGCACTTTGGGAGGCTGAGGCAGGAGGATTGCTTGCGTTCAGGACTTTGAGACCAATCTGGGCAACATAAAGAGACCCTGTCTCTCAA